GAAAAAACGAGTGGTATGAGCAACGCTTGCTCGCTTGCTCTCTTGCGCAACTTCTTTTCCGCGCTCGCTTATCCCGCAACAGCGCACCACAACGCACTGTACCAAATTAATACAGTGCGCAGCAGTGAGCCGCGCTCGGCTAAATGCCAACAACGCGAGCCGCGCGCAACAATTGATCGCAGCCGCTGATCTGCGCTCCCGGATGTCCGAGCACCCGTCCAAGTGTCATTCCTACAACCGGTTGCGGAACGTTGGGACTGTGGCCATCATGGTGCCGCCGTCCTAAAAAAGGAACAGATTCTTTTAATCAGGAAACAATGGAGAATTTCGTAATTTTGTTATCCACTGATCCCATTGTTCAAAAAGCTGAGATTTTAAGCAGAGCAGTAGGAACACATTGCGATTAGTACATTATTAATATTAAATACTATAATAATAATAAAATTAAATTAATTGATAAGTTATAGGCTCCAATAAATTCCAAAATTTTATTAATGGTCTTTGTCAAAAAGTTTCCTTCTTTAGCTTGAACAAACTTAAACAATACATTAAAGTTCACAAAGATCCTTTACCTAAGATGATGAAAAGGAATGTGGTTTACAAAATCAATTGTACTGATTGTGATGCATCCTATGTAAGCCAGACAGGAAAAAAATTAAAAACTAGACTATTGAAACATAAAAAAAAACATCAATGAAAGAGCAACGACTTCTTATACGGTCTTTACAGATCATAGGTTGCATCATGGTCATAACTTTGATTGGGATAACGTTGCGATTCTGGACGTAGAAGGTTTTTACAATAAACGTATAACATCGGAAATGTTACAAATTAACAGACAGACCAATGGTTTAAATTTACAAACTGACACTGAAGCCTTAAGCAACGCTTACATAGAAATTCTCAATAAAGTATAAGATGTTATTGTTTTTCGACCGCTATATTATATGCAGAGTTGACAAGTAACGCATTGTATATATATATATATATATATACAGGGTGTTTCCAAATTAAATGGCAAAACTTCGGGAGCGTGTAGAGGAGTAAAAAACTAAGAAAAAAAGTCCTATAGACATATGCTCGTTTTTGCTCCGTTTCAGAGAAATCGAAAAAAAATGTTTACATTTCTTGCCATATCTAGCACCGACATATTTGATTACATTTTCCACTTTCTGTTATGAATTTGTCAGTCGCTCTTTGAAAGCCTTTAACAGTAGATGAATTTTGTCTTTTGCAATATGCCGCGTACGTATTCTAATAGTGAATATGCTGATATGGTTTTTGTATACGGTTTCTGCAACGGTAATGCTTTAAAGGCGGTGCGAGAATATGCACGACGATTTCCAAACAGAAGAGTGCCAAACCGAAGAGTGTTTATGTTGACATTTAATAGATTGCGAGAGACTGGAACATTTTCAATTCGACAAGAAAACAACCGATTTCAAGCAGCGTTACGAAGAGATTTGCAGGCAGGGAATCGTATTTTACAACATTTTGACAATCATCCTGAGACCAGCGTTCGGAATGCGTCGGCTGTATTGGGAGTGTCACCACAAACAATTTGGCGAACTGTAAAAGGAGATAATCGCTATCCCTAC